CCCTTGGCCAGCTTTCACATTCATATGTTGTTAAGTACGATCAAGTTGGTTCCAACTTAAGTTCACTGAGATACTGCTGGTGAACTTGAACCACCAACCTTGCAGTTCAAACCAACATGGCAGTCCAGTGCATTAATCCGCAACACCACACCAAGATCATAGCTTGAGTCAAGCTCACCTTAGTCTTCAAAGTGACATCTTTGCTTTTTAACACTCTAATGAGATCTCTGAAAGCAGATTTGCCCAATGCAATACCATCCTTTGATTTCTTGGCTGCTGCTTCCCCGAGTGTTGAGGCTGTCGTTAAATGCCATTGAGTCGGTTCCAGCCCGTGGCAACCCTGTATAGGGTTTCCTAAGAGCAGCTGGTGAATTTGAACTGCCGACCCTGTGGTTCAAACTCTACAACGCCACAGAGGAGCTGACAAGAGACACCTCAAGCAAATTTGACATCTGAACATGGGTGGATCCTGATTCTGTGAAACCAGCTATAGCAGACTTGGATGATAGGAAGCAAGGGTTGTTAATCTGAAGGTGTGATAGCGGTATTGGGTTCTCCTTTAAAGACATGCATGGAGAATTTCTGGATGAACAAATCAGGTCTGGGGTTTGCTTCAAAATAATGTGGCGGACACTTGCAGATAATACCCACTTGACCTGGTTTCAATGACTGGATGATCAGAACTCAACTAGAAGAAGAAAGAAGAAGGGGGAAAGAGTAATCTGATACAATTTGATGAACTTGACCTACACCTATGGATGCAGTAGCTCAAAAGAGGGAACAAATCTTTACAGCAAGGATCATTCCCACCCCTCCATACACAGAGTAGACTGGGATGGGCAACTTGGACATTGGCTACCCAAAATGGGTGGCTACAAAGGCAAGAAGTGACTGGCTTACAAGCTTTCAAGAGGGAACCTAGATCCAGAGAGTGCGGAGAAAGGTAGAATCTCCACTGAGTAGTAACCAATCTGTCTGGGCTGATGAAAGGAGTTGGGGATAGGACTCCTGTGGTACAACAGTGAATAATTGTTATCAGGACTGACTGTGAGGGTTGTAAATGTAAAGGTAGACATTTTGTAGCAAAAGGAGGGGAGTGGTTGACTTTGCAGTCCAGGAGAGGAGGTCCCTGTGACCATCAAGGGAGAAAAGTAGAGAGCGGGACCGTACCCAGAAAACCCAGAAAAACAGTGACACCAGAGATGGAGGCAGAGACGATGACATGGAAAGATGGAGTGGCTGGGGACTCTGGACTCAAAGAGGGAGAGAGGCTGTGTGCTGACAACTGGGGGGCAGGCTTGCGGGGTATATCCTTTGGAGGGGATTGTAACCATGAAACAATATACGATAGGATGAATGTAAAGCTAATGTTCTCCCATGTAAACCATCACGTAATTTACAATAAAACATTTAAAAAACAAAACAAAAACAATGTGGCGGGAGAGGAGGGATGAACGGGACGGAAGTGGCTGGTGTTAATAATTGTTGCAGCTGGTGATGGGGGCTTATCATACAAAGGGGGCTTCAGAAAGTTGGTGGAAAAACTAATTCCAAGGTCATGGAATTTTCCATTAACTTTTTAAAGCCCCCTCCACCCCACTCTGCTCCCAGAACCAGCTCCCGTGCAGGGGGTCGGGAGCAGTCCTGGTCTCCGGCCCTTCCTCTCAGCCTTGTCCCTCCCCAAACCCATGGTGGTCCACCTTCCCAATGCCATCCTATGTTCTGGGGTGGAGGCAAGGAGGTTCAGTGAGGTTCCTATCTGGGATGGGGGTTCCTGGGAGACAGCTGTGGGGGGCCCTCACTAAGATGGCTTAGTTCCCTAGCACTGTTGTTATTGTTAAGTGCCTTCCAGTGATTTTCAACTCACAGCAACCCTTAGTGGGTTTCCAAGGAGCAGCTGGTGAATTTGAACCGCCGACCTTGCAGTCCAGTGCTTATCCTACAGCGCCACACCCTAGTCCTGGTGGTAGTGGCAGTTATGTGCCGTGTGGAGTTGGTTCAGACTCATAGCAACCCTGCATAGGGTTTCCGAGGCTGTGAATCTTTATGGGAACAGAAAGCCTCATCTTTCTCTCACGGAACTGCTGCCCATGAGGTTAACAGCCTGACTCGGAAGCACTACGCTACCAGAGCTCCTTCCATACACCCTAGCACTACTGTAATAGAAATATCACAGATGTGTGTGCCGAGGAGGGTGGCTTTAAAGAAATGTATTTTCTCAAGGTCCTGGTGAGATGCTGTAGGATCAGTACTAGAGTTTGAACCACAAGGTTGGCAGTTCAAACCCACCAGCTGCTCCTCGGAACTGACTAGAGGGCGGCACTTAACAACAACAATCAGGGTCTCTGCGGGCAGCCCTGGTGCCTTGGCTTCGACAGGACACTCACACGACATCTATTGCCCTGTAGGTGATTCGATTTAGAAGCCATTGGGTTGCACCTCCATCTACTTAGCACAAAGGAGCAAACCGTATTCCAACCATATTCCCGGATCCCTCTACATGCATGGGTCTAGGAATCTAATGTAGAATTTAAGGGACACAATTCAACCCCTAAAGGTAGGCTCCTTCCTTACAAGGTAGGACAGCAAGACTTCATCTCATGTACTTTGGACACGTGATCAGGAGGGACCAGCAAAACAGGAAGCCCATCAAGGGTATGGACACACTGGCTGTACCAGCGTGCTCTAACGTGACACGAACTGTGAGGATGTTACAGGATCAGGCAGTGGTCAGAACCGACTCAACAGCACCTAACAACAGGGACTGAGATTATGTGCTCCCTTCAGCCCCTTGGATAACACCGACTACTTGGCCACAGCTAGATCTATGACCTTGAGCCTTGTTACACTGCCCAACCCCTGACCTCAATCACAGATTCAGCTTTGACCTTTGACCCAAGCTGAATCCCTAACCCAGGCTGGGAAGGAACGAGCTCTGAGAAACTTTGAAGGGACAGGAACCTCTGCCCAGTTGTCTTCTGGAGACAAGGATCCCCCAGGATCCTACAGGTCTTGTCACCATGGTTTTGCAGCCAGAGTCAATTTTAAGCCTACACTGTCCACTTCTACCTCCCAGGGTTCCAACGGTGTTGCCTCACCCACCACTCCCTCCTGAAAGAAAGCGTGCCTCCAGGTACCCTCCTTAAACAGTCTGGGGTATTCCCGCCAGTCTTCCCCGACTCCTGCAGACTTCAAAGCCACCCACCGAAGCCCAGGGTCAAAGGTAGAGTGGAGTCTCCCTGCCAGTCTCTGGGCATGGGGTGGGGGGGGGAGGGTTCCTCAGCAAGGCCTAGTCTTCCTGCTCCTTTCAAGGAGCCCCTCCCAACTCAGGCCAACAAAGACAGGCAGGCAGGGCCCTACCACTGGCCAAGCCTGGCAGAGGGCACCACCCAGGGAACCCCACAACCCTGTAAGGTGAATCTGCTGTCACCTGCAGGGTAAGCAAGGGGTCTAAATCACATACCTGGTTATGGGAATCCAGAGCAGCCTGGCCCCAGCCCCTGAGATGAAGTACAGGCAGGAGACCACCGGCTGGCCCACCTGGTCCCCAGTCCAATCACTGTCCACCAACCTCACCCTCCTGCAGCCCCCCAGTACACCCCTTCCACCAGAAGCTCCAGCCCTGCAAGAGTCTGTGCGTTGCTCTGAATTCCCAGACCTCACAATGCTGGGCCCACCTTACAGAGGAGGGGACTGAGGCCAGGAAGTGACCTACCCCATTCATGTAGCTAGGGACCCCTCCCCCCTCCTTCACCAGGGAAATGAGGATCAGGGCCACATATGGACAGCACGGCCAGACTCCATCATAAATAGAACTGATTTATTTATAAAGTCCACCTTCCTTCAAAGAGCCGATTTTCCTGATACACCACTCCACAGCTTAGTAGCAGGGGCCCGGGCACTTTGGGCTGCTCGGTGGAGATGGTGGCCAGGTTGGAAAATTCCAGGTCGTGGGGGCAGGGTGCACTTAAGTCATCCTTATTGAGGTTTACGTACAAAAATAAGTCTTCTTGTTGCCAACACTGTCCGTCTGACAGTTGACGTTAATTTGTAAAAAATAATTCTCTCTCTGTCCTTATAAAATCATTTCCAAAATCATCTCCAGGAGCAAAATGGCAGCCTCAAGCAAGCCTCATCAGAAAGCATTAGAACAAGTGGCAGCGGGAACGTGTTTCGACCATCACGAACAGGGAGCAGTCCGAGGCATCGCCGGCGTGGTGGTGGCTCTCGCAGCACGCCGAAATTGAAGAGGTGGGTGTGTTGGCTGCGCGCCTGCGCTGCTTGGCTTCCGAGGGACGTGAGGAGGGAAGTGAGGGGCACGTTAGCTGCGCCAGGACCAGCACTGCAGAGAGGGGGGAGGGGAGAATAGAGAGGCACGAGGGAATGAGTTCACTTTGGGATAGCCCCAGGCAAGACCCCGCCCCAGACAAACCTGCAAGGCAGCCAGGCCCTGCTCCAACTTCCCTCCCTAACCCCAGCATGGTTTTTTCTGGAGTATGAGCCCAATGGAGCTTCAGAATCCGACTGAGGCCCGGGACAGGGTAGGGCTTGCACCCCGCTGCCGGGCGGGGGGTGAGTCAGGGCTCCGCACCCGTAGACTCACTCTGCCACTCGAGTCCCGGGGCACACGATTTGCAATGCAAAATCACCCCCGCCTCCAGCACCTTAATCTGCTAGGGGGATCCACTTTCTTTCAGGGCCTCACCCGCCCAGGGCCAGCTTGTTCCACCAGATCACCACCCGCCGCCGCCCTCTCCCCTCCCCCCATCAGCAGCGGAGCGGCGAGGGAAAGTTTTGCAACAGCGGACAAACAAACACGGTCTTGCACAGGCTTGAAAAAGTTTGGCGAAAAGGAAAAGTGCGCAAAATCACAGCCATTGCCCGGGCCCGGCGATCAGCTTCACTGGTTTTCGCGGGCGCAAACCGTGGGCCTCCCCAACCCACCCCGCTTCTCATCTCCGCTCCCCGCTGTCCGTATTACCTCATGGGGCGGGGATCGCTCAGTAGCCCCCTAACCAGCTGGAGAACTCCAGTAGTTCGCGTTCAGCGGGGCTCAGCGCGCCTTCGCAGCCACCATCGTCCGACGAGTAGGCAGAGCGTGGGGAGCCGGGCTCGGAGCTGCCTCCGCAACCCGGAGAGGACGAGGCGCAGGAAGGCGAAGTGGCGGTCGCTGCTGGGGTCTCCGGCGGGACACTGGGCGCAGGAGACCTCGCGGCGGGGGACAGCAGGCCTCCAGCTAGCGCGGAGCGCACGGCGTCGTGTTCCGCCAACTGACACTGTAACGCGCGGATGTACTCCACCGCCGAGCGCAGCGTCTCCACCTTGCTCAGCTTCTTGCTGGCGCCGCCGTGCGGCACGTGCTGCCGCAGCGCCTGGAAGCCCAAGTTCACCAGTTTCACGCGGTTGCGCTCGCGTTCGTTGCGCCGCGCTACGGCTGCCGCGCCAACCCCGGCCTCCTCCGGTGCACCGGGCCGCCGTCGGCGGCTACAACGCAGCAGCTCAGGGGATTCTGGCTGCCGCCGGGCACAACGACCACCCAGGATGCCGGGCGCAAGGGGAGCGGGCCGGGACAGCGGGCTGCCGTCCATTGCGCCCGCATCCACCCACCAGGCAACTCCTCTGAGCCCCGCGCGCCGCTGCAAGGTGCGGGCGGGGGTGGCGCGGAGTGGGAGACTCCCCAATGAGTTTCCGGCTCAGAGCTGAGGAGTGACTCCCTGGGCCCGATGCCGGGTGGCCGAGGTGGCGGGCCGTGCACGTCGGGAAGCGTGGGGCGCTCGTGTCCCGCGCGTGCTGCTAGACGCTCCCGGGTCTCCCTAGTGCAGCCGTTTTTAAACGTATAGATAACCCTCCTCCGCGTGGCCGCCGCCTCCTTCTCACGCCCTCCTTCTTGCCTCGCCCTCCTGCACGCTTCACCCTCCCCTTCGCTCACAAGGCCCTGAGGGCCCCCATAGTAGCTGCAGGTCCCCTGCGATGCCCCACAGCCCTATTCCCCAGCAGGTGCCCGGCGCATCCCACCAAGTGAGGTCCTCAGGTGCCCGGCGCACCCCCACCCTCTGCCCACTGGTGCAGCCTGCTGCCCAGCGCTGCCAGTCCCTCAGCTCTATGGCTCGAAGGCCGTGGGCCCCGCCACCAGCCCTCTGCACGCGTAGCTCGCGCCCAGGGGGGAGGGCGGGGCGGTTCGAGACTCCCAGCAGCACGCGCCCAGCCCCACCTCTCTTCCCCCTTCGGCCCCCCACCCCCCACTGGTCCCGCCCCTGCAGCCACCGGGAGTCGTCCACCGCCTTTACCAATCACGGTTCGCCTGTTCAGCCATTGCAGTGGACGCGCCCCGCCCAGCTCCCCAAAGGAAGCGCGTGCGCCCAGCGCGTGGCTCGCAGGAGCCTCGAGAACAAAGCTAGACGTTCGCTGGGCTTCGTGCCCCACCAGCACCTGCACTGGCCGCACCCACCAGTGCTAGTCACCACCATGTGGGAACCAATGTGGGGAGTGGGCTGGTCGGGTGCGTGGGGCGGGAGGCTCCCGTACCTGAGCGCCCTCCCCTCCCAGGCTACACTTGGGCCCTGGGTAGCCCCTTAGCCCGGGGGTCTGGGGTTTTGCCCAGATCTCCCGGCCCAAGCGGTGGTCACTCCTTCTCAGGGCCCACGCTCCTCTTTCAGCTGTGGTTTGGGTTTTTTTGTTTCAGCTGTGATTTGTTTTTCTGTGATTTTTGTTTTTTTAATTTGCCTTGTTGGTCCTTAGCCTTCCGCCTCCAACCCGGACCTCTGCGAAGTGCTGGGGACAGCAGCAGGGCCCTTGTGCCAGCGGGGACCGGGTGTCCTGGGGGTGGACAACTTGAGAGCTTTTCTCCCAGCTAGATGGGGGGAAACTTGGGGGTCTGAGGGGACGAGACCCTGCAATTAATAAAGGTGTCTCCTGCCTCGCTGTCCGTGAGAGGGGGCGCAGCAGCTCTGCCATGTCCAGGGCCACGCAGGTGACCGACTGGGTGCGCTGCAGGGCCTGGGCCGCTGGAAATGAGGTGGTCGTGAGACCCCAGCTGCCTGCAGCTCGCCTTCCCTTCCTGGGGCTCAGAAGGGCTGGGGTTTGGACCTCCGAGTAGGTGAGATCCAGGCCCGCCCTCCCCTTACCCCCATCGGATCTACTGCTGTCCTCTGGGGCTCACTGGCTTCTAAAACACAGCAAGATTCATGCTGGGGGGGAGGGCAGGGGGGCTGCCTGACCTTCCTGCCTTGGCGAGTGGTGTGGAGGGCCGCACTTGCTGGACCATCAGGAGTTGGAACTCTGCCTCCTTGGTCCCAGCACTGGACGCTAACTTGGGGACTGGGTGGTTGAAGGGGGTCACACACACCGTGTTAGGGATTGAACTGTGACCTCAAAAAGTTTGTGTTGTCCATCCTAACCCCTGTATCAGTGGATGCAGCCCCATTGGGAATGAGTTAGGGAGGTCTATCGAGGTGGGTGTGTCTTCAGCGAATCAATTTGAAATGTCAATCATGCAATCTGATTTCGGAGCCAGCAAGCCCAGATAGCAAAGAGGCTTCACCTGAAGACTTTCAAGGAACAAAGAAACAGAAGAGACAGGGACCTTCCCCCCACAACTCTCAGAGAGAGAGCCTTGCTCCTGAATTCGGACGTCTAGTCTCCTGAACTGTGGGAAAGGAGCCCTGCTAGCCCAGTGGTTAAGCACTCAGCAGCAAACTAGAAGCTTGGCCATTCAAACCCACCAAGACTGTTGTTGCTAAGTGTCATCAAATCAGTACCGACTCATAGCGACCTTATGCACAACAGAACGAAACACTGCCCAGTCCTGGGCCAACCTCACAATTTTTGCCATGCTTGAGCCCACTGATGCTGCCACTTGGCCAATCCATCTTGCTGGGGGTCTTCCTCTTTTTTTCTGACCCTCCACCTTACCAAATATGATATCCTTCTCCAGTGACTTCCCTCCTGACCATATGCCTGAAGTATGAGAGACGAAGTCTGGCCATCCTGGCCTCCAAGGAGCACTCTGGCTGCACTTCTTCCAAAACTGATCTGTTTTGGCAGTCCATGGCACTTTCAATATTCTCCTCCAACACCATAACTCAAAAGCATAAATTATTCTACGATCTTCCTTATTCACTGTCCAGCTTTCGCATCCATATAAGGTTATTGAAAATACCATGGCTTGGGTCAGGCTCACCTTAGTTCTCAAGCTGACATTTTTGCTTTTCAACACTTTAAAAAGGTCTCATGCAGCAGATTTGCCTAACGCAATACGTCGTTTGATATCTTAGCTGTGGCTTTCATGAGTGTTGATGCTTGATCCAAGAATGAAGTCCTTGATAATAACTTCAGTCTTTCCTCCGTTGATAAGAATGTTGTTTATTGGTCCAGTGGTGAGGATTTTTGTTTTCCTGACATTGAGATGCAATCCATACAATGCGGAAATCATCGGACAGTATCTTTGATATATATCCCACGTGAGTAAAGTTTTACTAAAGGTAATACATAAACAGCTGCAAGCATACATTGACAGAGAACTTCCAGAGGTTCAAAAGAGGATGCGAAACCCGGGATATCATTTCTGATGTCTGATGAATCTTGGCTGAAAGCAGAGAATACCAGAAAGATGTTTACCTGTGCTTTATTGACTACGCAAAAACTTTCTATTGTCTGGATCATGACAAGCTATGGACAACACTGAGAAGTATGAGTATTCGGGAACACTTGAGCAATTGAACACAGATTCATGAGGAATCTGTACATGGACCAAGAGGCAGTTGTTTGAACAGAACATGGGATCACTAAATGGTTTAAATTTAAGAAAGATGTGCGACAAGGTTGTATTCTTTCACCATACTTATTCAGCCTGTATGTTGAGCAAATCTGAGAAGCTGGGTTCTATTAAGAAAAACGTGGCATCAGGATTGGGTTAATATAATCAACCTGCGATATGCAAATGCTACAACCTTGCTTGCTGAAAGTGAAGAGAACTTAGAATAGTTACTGATGAAGATCAAAGAGCACAGCCTTCAGTATGGGTTACATCTCAATGTGAAGAAAACAAAAATCCTCCCCCACTGGACCACCAGGATTACAGGCTAGGAACCCCTTGAGGCCAGTGTTACTCTGCCCTGCAGAGTCAGCTATGGGTCACGTCCACTCAATAGTACCCAAGAACAAACAGAAAATAAGTTTTTGTTAAAGCCACCACTTCTGATTTCTGTTAGAGTAGCAGTAGCCATGGTATGTTCAGTAACCTCATATGGATGCGAAAGCTGCACAGTGAATAAGGAAGACCATAGAAGAATGGATGCACTTGAGTTCTGGTGTTGGAGGAGAATATTGAAAGTACCATGGGCTGCCAGAAGAACAAACCAATTTGTGTTGGAAAAAGTGCAGCCAGAATGCTCCCTGGAAGCCAGGAGGGGCAGACTTTGTCTCTCATATTTTGGACATATTATCAGGAGGCACCCGTCCCTGGAGAAGGACAGCATACTTGGGAAAGTGGAGAGTCAGCATAACAGTAGGAGACCTCTCAAGGAGATGGATGGGCACAGCGGCGGCGGCGGCAATGGGCTCAAGCGTAGCGACAGTTGTGAGGCTGGCGCAGGGCCGGGCAGTGTTTCGTCCCGTTGTACATAGACAGGGTCACTATGGGGGTTGATACCTCACAACAAGAGACACCCAATAACTAAGGTAATCAGCAAGTGGCCCGGTCTCCCTCCTGTCTCATGAACAGCCCAACTCACCTGTGCACCTCCCTGTTGGTGTCTAATAGGCACTTGGCAAGCTCGCTGATCTCACCTGCCCACACCACAGCTGTCGGACCAGGTGTTGGAGAACATCTGCAGACTGGGCTCTGAGAGCCCAGGCCTTGACCAGCACTTTCTTGGGGTGCTGGGGATCATGCTACAGCTGCAGTGGCCAATGCCTGGAGCCTTTCAGAATCTTATCTTTGGTTGGAATCCTGGTGTGGCGCTGTAGGATAAGCACTGGACTACTAACTGCAAGGTCAGCTGTTCAAATCCACCAGCCACTCCTCAGAAACCCTATATAGGGTCTCTATGAGTCGGAATGGACTCCATGGCACTTAACAACAGCAATTAGAAGTAGCTGACGTGAGTTTTAATAACGTTGTTGTTAAGTCGAGTCGGTTCCAACTCATAGTGACCCTGTATAGAGTCTACAAGGAGCAGCTGGTGAGTTTGAACCGCCAACCTTGTGGTCCAGTGCTTTATTCTACAGCGCCATATTATCACTTCAAGACATTACAAATATATATATGGAGACATTGTACATTATTTTTGATAAGTTTTCAAAAATCAAATGGAACCGCTCAGTACAGAATCACCACATTCCAAGTACTCAGTAGCCACTAATGATACGTGCCCACCATAGTGGACAGTACAGTCCTAGACCTAGAAGGGATCTAGCTCCATCCCTGAACATGATAGGTGAAGAAGGTGAGGCCCAGAGAGGGAAAGTGAGGTGCCTGGGAAAGGGAGAGAGAATCACTGTGGCCCACGTATTCTGCTTCCATCCTGTGGAGGTGTGAGGTTGGGTGTGGGCTTCTTACTGAGGGCTGGACAAGCATACTCAGAGAGCA